TCTCCTTATTCACATATTAAACTAACTTTACATTTCTGGAATGAACCCAACTTAGTTGTAATGTGTTATCCTTTATATAAATCGTTGCATTTGTTTTGCTAATATTTAGTTTGGGATTTTTGCATCTGTGTTTGAGTGAGATTACCATGTATTTTTCTTTTTATGTCCTGGACTGGTTTTGATATCAAAGTTATGACGACCTCATACAAGAGTTTGGGTGGTGTTCTCATTTTTTCTATTCTCAGGGCGAATTTCTGCTGTTTTTTTCTAATGTTTGGTAGAATTTACAGGGTGACATCTGTTCTTTAGTTTTCTTTGTTAGGAAGGTTTTAAACTATGGGTTGGATTTTTTTCTACCAGCTATTGGTTATACTATTTTTTATTGCTTATATCAATATAGATAATTTTTTCTCCTAGGAATTTGTCATTTCATCTGAAATTTCAAAAATATTGGTATAAAGTTGTTTATAATAGTCCCTTATGACCTTTCTTTTATTTTGAATATCAAACTTAGAGCGAATAACTTTTCCTAAATTACCCAAGAGCAAGCTCAGCCATGATGTCCCACCACCCCAAATACATTACTGCAATTCAGTTTGAAGACCCTATTTATTTTTTAAAAACAGCTTTCTAGAAGTATAATTGGCATACAGAAATACTGTATTTAAAATATATAATTTTAAAAATTAATATATGTTCACCTTTAAAATCATAGCTATAATGAAAATAGTGAACATATTTATCATCATAAAAGTGTTATGCCCCTCTCTCCATTGTGAATTAATTTTTGAATATGATTTCAGATATAGATTCAAGGTCATTTTTTGCATATGTACATCGTTTTGTAACCATTTTTTAAAAGACTATCCTTTCTGTGGTTGCCTTTGGACCTGTGTCAAAAAACGGTTGTCCATATCTGCATACTTTTATTTCGAGACTTTTAATTCTATTCCATTGATGTATTTATTTTTCAAACCACTACCACACTGTCTTGATTATTGTAGCTTTGTAAGTCTTTAAATTAAGGAGTGTTAGCCCTCCAACTTGTTCTTTTTCAAAGTTGCTTTCTTGGTCCTTTGCATTACCATATGGATTTTTGAATCAGCTTGTCAATTTTTATACACACACACTCAAAGCCTGCTGGCAGTTTGAGATTGTTTTGAAGCTATAGATCAATTTCAGAAGAATTGACATCTAAACAATATTGAGTCTTCTGACCCATGAAATAAGATACCTCTCTTCATTTATTTAGGTCTTTTATAGCCATAGTTTTGTAGTTTTCAGTATCAGATCTTTACATCCTTTGTTTATGAAATCTCTGAGTACCTCAAATTCTGAAGTTTCAGTTTCTAGTAGTTCATTGGTAGTATATAGAAATGGAATTGATTTTTGTAGATTGATCTTGTGTTTTTCAACCTTGCTAAACTCACTTATTTGTTCTAGTTGTTTTTTGTATAGATTTTATATTAGAATGGCTCTAAAGTAGACTTTTTTCCCAGTCTAGATTAGCTCTGCTCCTAAAGCATGACTTTTCTGGGATGTCTGTCAAATGACCTGTGCATTCAGCAAAGTTTCTTCATTCTGGATGGTTAAAATTAAAACATCCCCCAGCCTTGTAAGAACTTTGGTAGTACTTCTTTAGTTAATTTTGTAGAGACTCTGTATATATCTATGTACAGCTTAGAATTTAGTCAGAGTATCAAGGGGGCCTTCATAGACATTTCTTTCTCTGTGTATTTTCCTCAAATTCCAGCTGCCATTACTTCCTCAGATTCTGATCTCTGTTCAGTGAGATCACTGTGCTTTGACTATCCCCCTGTCTGTCCCACAGTTAAGAAAGCACCTCCAGACAAAAGCAAGTGATCATGGGACTTGCTTTGTTTCTCTTTCCTCAGGGATTACGGTCCTTGCTGCCTGTTGTCTGTCTAGAAATTGTTGCTTAATATATTTTGTCCTGTTTAACAGCTGTTTATGGTGGCAAGATTTATCCAGTCACAGTTACTCTATCATAGTCAAATACGGTTTTTAACTCAATCATATTGGTTTTAGCTCTATAGTCCAGTTAAGTCTCAACTATCATGTTGTGAGTTCACTGGAAGAGTAAAATTTTAAGGAAATAATGATGTATAACATGATCTTGTATATATTCATTTTATGAAAATGATTTTAAAAAGTTAATTTCAAATGAATGCTGTCACTTTGATGGCTTATTAATTTACTAAACAAAAAATAATTACCTACAACACTTGTACCTCTTTTACCAAATATATTTATTCTGCCTAGTTATTGGATATATTTACTGTGGACATTTTATTCTGTTTCTTTTTAAATACTTTGGAAGTAGAGTCTTTGTACTTATGTCATAAGAACAATTATTATTATTTCGATTGGACTTATATCATGTTTTAGATATAGCCAGTTTGTACTACATACTCATGTACCACAAGCTTAGATTTTATTATAAGATAACTTGCTGTGTAGGCTGCCTAGTAATTCAAACATCAGATGGATGATTGGCCTAGGTGACTTTTAAATGCCCTTCAGCCTTGAGATTCTATTATTCTTCAGCAAATTAAATTCAGCAGATGTCCTGAGTGCCATTTTAATAGTGTATGCTATATAAGAAAAATTATCTTTGTCTTTGAGAAGCTTAGAATTTCATTGGTGAGATAATACCTACGTGTGTGTATGTGTGTGTGTGTAGAAATAGAGTATGTAGAAAGAAGAGAGAATAAATGTAGAAAGAGAGAATAGTTAAAAATTATGTATGATTAATTATAGAGTGAACAGCACAAACCACAGATGCTTGACATGTTCAGTCAGAGAAAGAGACAATGTGGCAGAAGTAGAATGAGAAAGAACACATCTTGTCATCATGTGTGTGGTGACATCAGCAAAAGAGGGCCACCAAAGCAGCACAAAGGAGTACACAGTTGCAGGAGTGTCAGTAAAGAGACCAGCTTAGCAGAAGTAGAAAGTTGTTTGGCCTTGTTTTAAAAAATATGTGGCTAAGTTGTGAACTATTGCAATTTTGTCAGCAGTGGCATTTCCTTCAGCAAGTGCCAGCTCGGTGACAGCATTGGCTCTCTAGATCTGGAAATCTTACATTTGTATAACTAAGGTTCCACTAGTAATAATGTCTTAATGTTGCCATAGACCAAAATTTTTTCGTAGAAAAATCCTCATCTGTATCATGAGATATATCTGAGAAACAGTATGAACAGATCAGCTATCTGAGGTCTGCCTTTTTGGAGCTGCTAGGTGCTAGAGAAATTCTTTTGAGTTTTATAGCTCTTCTGTCTGTCTGAGTCTAGTAGATTCTAGTCTTTTGTTTGTGTTTAGCTTTTAAGGGTCAAGGTCATACTGAGGTTAAAACTGTCTTGCTGGGTTGATATTAAAATCTGGACATAGTATTCCATGCTGACTTTTAATTCTGGTATTGGAAGAGTAATTCAAAGCATACTCGTTTTTATTTAATATTGTTCAAATAAAATCAAATTTAATACACATATACCAGAATAAAAAATTTAGATAAATTTTCTACAAAATGGTAAAAGCACTGAAATTTCTTACCACTGGGTGTGAACTAAACAGATAATAGAATACTTCTGTGATTTAGTTTATTACTAAATACGAAATATGTATGAAGACATCTTTGAGTATGAAAATTCTGAATTTCAATGTATCATAGGTTTTAGTTTTTAAAATTATAGAACTGTACTTTTTGTCTTTTTTTTTTTCTTTTTTTAAGTATGGAACATGGTCAGGTACAGTGGCTCATGCCTGTAATCCCAGAACTTTGGGAGGCTGAGGCAGGAGGACCACCTGACACCTGAGGTCAGGAGTTTGAGACCAGCCTGGCCAACATGGTGAAACCCAGCCTCTACTAAAAAATACAAAAAGTAGTAATGTGTGGTGGCACACGCCTGTAATCCCAGCTACCTGGGAGGCTGAGGCATGAGAATCGCTTGAACCCAGGAGGCAGAAGTTGCAGTGAGCCAAAGTCACACCACTGCACTCCAGCCTGGGCAACAGATTAAGACCTGTCTCAAAAAAAACAAAAAAAAAAGATAAATAAAAATAAAATATGTAAAATATGGAACACTTCACTAATTTGCATGTCACCCTTGCTCAGGGGCCATGCTAGAACTCTGCTTTAATATTGCATCATTTTGTTTGAAGCAATACCAAACAAAAGCTGAAAACATGACTAAGTAAAAGATATTAAAAGCTTTATGTGTATGTCTTCATTCACATTTTCTAAAATCATTGTTTAAAAAATGCTTGTTTAGTAAGCATGCTAAAATCCTTGCTTACGTGTGTTCTTTTTTTGCACTGGCTTATTTTTGAGGCTGGCTGTGAGTGTTCATGTAAAACGAGAGAAATTCCAACAATAGAGAAGGGGGAGGTTGGGGGGGACAGATAAATGCAATTTTACTTGACAACAGAGTTGAATGTGAGTGTGTAAAATTTCTGCCATAACATAAAACAGATTTGAAATCTTACCAGGTAAAACTTAAAATGTGGATAATGCCTGTTAATGTTAAGTACCACATTAAGTTATTTACAATATTTGATCCCTAGAGAAACTTAGAAAAGAACTTACAGGGATTATTTTGCTGCTTGTATTCTGATCACTTCATTATTAATTACTGCAGGATCATTTCTATAGCTAATGTGGGATTTTCCTCAGATCTTCTTAAGGCCATAGTCAGAACCAACTGAGTATATATATAAGATGATTGCATTATTTTTATTGGAGAAAAATTGAAACAAATGAAATTGTTTTAATAGAGAATATAAGACTTTCTCCCTCTTTTATCTCATTAATGTATATTTTATTCTTCTTAACAAGGTAGAATTTTGGCTATAAAACATACACCGTAATACATGCTTTTTTGGAAAAAATTGTAAATGAATTTTCAGGGCTGTTGGTGCTAAGAATGTAGTACATGTACTTCTGTGGTTGTTTTAGTGTCTTTTTTGTTGATTTTTGGCAGATAAAATAACACAAGAAGATATTGAAGGCATTCTACAGAAATTTACTGGGAATATAATGCAAGTTCCCCCCCTGTAAGTTCAATTAGTAAATTTGGAAAAATGTTTTCTTTTCCAATGGGTAACATGACTCTAGTTAAAATACACGAGTTTCCTCTTAGCATATGGCAAGGCAGGTTTTAAATCTGATGTGCCAAATGTTCAAGTAAAGGTGAGACAGGATGTGGAGCTTTCAACACTCTCTAAGAGGGAGTGGAATGTGGTCTCCTTTGTTTCTGAGTGTGGCCACAACCTGGCATCTGTCCTATTACAGTATTTATTGGCTTTTCTGATTCTATCCACAGACATCAGGGCAGTTCGAGAGCCCAGAGATGTCTCTTTTCCTAGAACTGTTGTGGAGGGACCAGTCCAGTCTGGAAGGGAAGTCAGAGCTGTGAGTCGGAGTCCTAATGTGCACTGCATGTCAGGTGCTGAGACCATTCCTATTGGGCACAATCTTTTGCTTCACTGTTCTCTGCAACCAGCGAAACCGATGAGAGTTACAACTTACTAAAAATATAAGTAGATTGCTTTACTGCTTGTCTTAGTTTGTTTGGGCTGCAGTAACAAAAATAACATAAACTGGGTAGCTTATAAACAACAGAAATTTATTTCTCACTGTTCTGGAGGGTGGGAAGTCCAAGATTACAGTGCAGTAGGCTCAGTTTCTGGTGAAGGCCTGAGATGCCTTCACAGATGGCACCTTCTTACCGTATCCTCCCATGGTAGAAGGGGCAAGGCAGCTCTCTGGAGCCTCCTTTATAAGCATACTAATTTCTTTCATGAGGGCTGCACCCTGTGACCTAGTTACCTCCCAGAAGCCTCCACCTCCTAATATTATCACCTTGGGGGTTAGGATTTCAGCATATAAATTTGGAGGTTTGGCATTCAGATCATAATACCATGTAGCCATATTTTCATGCACATTACCATTTCAAGCAAATTGCCTTTTTTAAAAAAATGGCTGAATTGGTTAAAGGATATGTCAGGATAAGTTTCTGACTTTTTTTTAGATTTTTTAGATTTTAAAATTTTTTAGATTTTTAAAAAGCTTGGGTTTTTTTAAGGAACATTGAAATATCTCTGAGGAGATGCTTTTTCATGATTTTTGCCTCAAATATAAAAAATTAAAAATTTTGGCAAGATCTGCATAAACATAATTTTGGATCATTGTTAAAATAAATTAAACTTATTTATATTTATGTGTAAGATTGTTTTAGTATTTTCTATGATTATTGCAAGGATTTTGTTTTCTAGTAAAATTTCATCATGAAAAGCTAAGGTACGCTAAGTAGATTATTTGCTTATTACCTTAGAAATGTTTTGGTAACTTATATAAAAATGAATATTATAGTACAGATTGTTTCAAGGAAATATAGCTGAGAGTATTATGACCAGAGTCTACTAAATTCCTTGTGCCTTTAACACAGAATGAGGACTTGTAAGGACAAGACATGAATAGATCATCTCCAGAAAAATGATTAAAGAATAAAATTGGTAACACTGCTTATTGTGTGCCAGAATGAGGTTATATCAGCCTTAGAAATATTTAGAAACTCTATCCATGACAGCATTATGGAGTAGGTTAGAATTAAAAATTCATTCATTTTTCAGAAGGATTTTCATTGTCAAGCACTGCCAGTCATCCTTCCTTTCCATGCCAAATCTGGAATTATAATCTCTCAATCTTTCCACATCCCTCTCAATTCTTGCTCTCCTTTCGTTTCCTTTCTCCTTCTCTCATCTCACAAGCTATTCTGCATTAAAGAAAGATGGACAGAGACTTTCGACTTTGATGAAGAGAGGTGAAGTTGTAGAAGCAAAACCTGCCAGGCCAGTGACTGTGTACAGTATCTCCCTTCAAAAATTCCAGCCACCATTTTTCACATTAGGTAAGATGGAGAAATTAGAAATCATTTGTATTTACATGTACTTTTGATTTGTATTTGGCTACTTATGTGTCATTTTAATAGATCTGTAGGATGTTGGAGATTTTTTAAAATTTGAATTTAAGGAAAGTTAGGATTTCTTCATACTTTTTTGGTAACACATTTAATGAGACACCTGTAGCTATATGGAGGTTGAGAAATGCCTTTCTAACTAGGCTGACTGTTTCATGTATTGTACCATGTTATCTTACTAGAAAGTTGAAATTAACATACTTTAGATCTCTATAGAGAAGAGTAGGTAAGGAGTATATACTTTTTAAATTTTAGTTTTTATTATCTTTTGGATGCTTTTCCTTGGCTAGTACCCCATACATTCAGTTTTACAATTGACATTAGTTTTCCATTGAAAACAAAGCATTTTTAGTTTTTGGACAAGAAACCCCTCACCCCCTTCTTCACCACCTATAACTTATTAAAGATCCTGCAAATATGGAAAAAACGGGTAAGTCAGAAATGTATTCTTGAATACATAGTCACATTTTAAATTCAAGTTATGAATTTTAATTTCTTTTTTTTTTTTTTTTTTTTTGAGACAGAGTCTCGCTCTGTCGCCCAGGCTGGAGTGCAGTGGCCAGATCTCAGCTCACTGCAAGCTCCGCCTCCCGGGTTCCCGCCATTCTCCTGCCTCAGCCTCCCGAGTAGCTGGGACCACAGGCGCCGCCACCTCGCCCGGCTAATTTTTTGTGTTTTTTAGTAGAGACGGGGTTTCGCCGTGTTAGCCAGGATGGTCTCGATCTCCTGACCTTGTGATCCGCCCGTCTCGGCCTCCCAAAGTGCTGGGATTACAGGCTTGAGCCACCGCGCCCGGCCGAATTTTAATTTCTAATACATATTTGAAATAAATGTAAACACTAAAAAGTTCATTTCTGTTGTTTGGAAATTTTATGATCTGGCTGCAGAAAGTTGTTAACATGTAAGATCTGTGAAGAATCCAAAGCTGTAGTTCTTAATCCTCAGACTCCTTTAAATTGGGCCTACCCTTAATTTCACAGTGGATTGAATAGGATTCCTTTTAAAAATAATGTCCCCAAATCTTTTAATCTAAACTGTATTGCTTTTTTTGATGGGCACTATTGTTTTATCTGTGTTATGTTTCTGCAGGATATGGTTTTGTATCATTAGAAAAAAAAGTCACTTTGTCTCTTCAAGTTCCTGCTTCTAAAATATTTGACAGATAATGAAAAAAACACGCTTAAAAAGGTTGTGCTCCATTCCATGAAAATGAAGCAGCTGGTTTGGCAGAGTAGATATTCTCTATGAAAGCAAGAAAAACTCAGGTTTTTCAGATTGCATTTAAGTCAGAAATACTTTATTGACTAGGGAGAGCGTAACAGGCCAAAAGAGCTATCTTTTCACTCAAGCCAAATATCATGCAAGAATGCTAGCACACCTGCATTTCATCCCAGTGCCCACTTTTAATCTCAGCAGTGGCCCCCAACCATGAACTGACTGAAGAAAGCGGGGGGTGATTAAAATCCCCAGGTGGTGAGTTTTGATTAATTCTCCCAAATGACTTTATTTGTACCAGTAAGACTTGAAGCAGCTAGAATGTAGTCATTTTGTGTGGAAATGTGGCAGCTCTTTTCAGGAAGTCTTGCTGATGAATAAAAATAACGGAGAGCCCTGTTCTCAACCAATAAACTTGTGTTAAGAAGATATTTAGATTTACATTCAGTTCTGGGACATTGTATAATTTTAAGTTGTTTTATGATTTCTTCAGGAGTATTTCCAAGAGAACATTTAAATAAACTGAGTTCTTCATGTGTAGTGCAGTACCCCAAACATAATTCTTGTCACTGTGAAAAGGGGTTTTTGGTTGGTTGGTTGGTTGTATTTTTTTTGAATGTACAAATCAGAAAATATTTTAAAAATCTACAGCTCATGATGGCAAAGCTACCATTTCTAACCGTTTACAACCTATTAAATGAACAAGGCATACAAATCTGAAAATATTTTTAAAAATCTACAGCTCATGATAGCAAAGCTGAGATTTCTAACTATTTAAAACCTATTAAATGAACAAGGCTGAAGTATTAAAGTGGTATGACTTGCCAGTTAATTTAAAATGTGTTCATGAGTTTCTGCTGTTTGCTTTCTCCACACTCTGACTTTTCAATCTCACAAACACATATGCTACTGGATGAATAATTTATGTTTTAGTGCATAAATATTTTATCACTCAATTGTTTGCGTAGTGCATTTTTACATTTGTTTAGGGGCATCATTTCTATGTAAAGTGGATTTCATAGGAGGTTAGCAATTTACTATGTCACTGTTAACATTCCAGATGTTGAATGTGGAGGAGGTTTTTATATCAGAAGCTTGGTCAGTGACATTGGAAAAGGTAAGCATAAAAATGAATTATGAATTATCATTTAGAGAGCAATACTCCTTTTCAATGGGAAGAGGGAATTTTCCGTTTTTCTTATTTCTGAATACTGGCCTTAGGAACTGAACTCTTGCTGCCTTCAGCTTTAAAAGCATTGTAGGTTTCTGGCTTGCAATTATCAGCCTCAGCAGCTGCAGTGAAATGCTTGTAATGGGAAAGAAGAGAAACAGAGAACAGAAAATGAAGACAGGAATAATGAACTTAGGGCCAACATCTTTTCAAGTACAAAAGATTTTAACTCAAACTAGGGATAGGGAAAAAAAAAGATTTAACCTTCTAAAAGTTATTTTCAAATTGTTTTGAACTGGAAGCCGTAGTCTTTATAAACAGCCAGAAGGTTTCGGTTCTGGCTGTGCCATTTACTGGCAGCTGTTGCACTGGACAGGTCATACGATCTCATCTGTGAAGTGAGGGTAATCTTCATGGGGCTGCTGCATGAATTAAATAACAGAAACGTGTGCAAGTTCTTTGTTGATTTTAAAGCAGCTTATAAGGTGGATTATTAAGTATTATTTTGCTACTTAATCATTTCTTTATCTCAGGGCTCTTGGTTCTTAGATTATTATACTCGTGCTTTTAGGTGATTTTGAGAGATTTGAATTGAGTACGGTCATTTGAACAATTATAGACTATGAAATACTGAATCAATTATCTTCTGGATTTTTTCTCCACCTTTTGTTGCCATAGAACTGTCTTCCTGTGCCAATGTGCTAGAGCTGACCCGAACCAAACAGGGACCATTTACGCTAGAAGAACATGCCCTTCCTGAAGACAAATGGACAATTGATGACATTGCACAGTCTCTTGAGCATTGCTCATCTCTTTTCCCAGCAGAGCTGGCACTTAAAAAATCAAAACCTGAGAAGTCTAATGAACAGGTTTTGAGCTGTGAATATATAACTCTAAATGAGCCAAAGGGAGAAGATGATGTAATTAAGACGTGTTGAGATTGACCTGGGAATATCATCATTTTCTAGTTAACATTTGAATCCTGTGTGCAGATGCAGAATGACAAGCTACATTCAAAAGACAAACAATATTTCTAACTTTTCTTTTTTTGCATGAAGAAAAACGTCCATCATTTACAGTTTCAATAGCATATAATTTATTTGCTATGCATTATAAATGGCCTTGCAGTTGCTCAGTTGTTTGCTGTGTTGTGGAATGTGCTTTTTTTTTTTTTTTTTTTTTTTTTTTTGAGACAGAGTCTCGCTTAGTCGCCCAGGCTGGAGTGCAATGTCGCGATCTCGGCTCACTGCAAGCTCCGCCTCCCGGGTTCACGCCATTCTCCTGCCTCAGCCTCCCGAGTAGCTGGGACTACAGGCGCCCGCCGCCTCGCCCGGCTAATTTTTTGCATTTTTAGTAGAGACGGGGTTTCACCGTGTTAGCCAGGATGGTCTCGATCTCCTGACCTCGTGATCCGCCCGCCTCGGCCTCCCAAAGTGCAGGGATTACAGGCGTGAGCCACCGCGCCCAGCTGTGGAATGTTCTTTTAGGATTTTTTGTATTGTGAAAATATGAATATGATTAGATTCAGAAAAATTAACTTTCTGAATTTGATCTGTCTTGTGTCTTGTGAAAAAGTTGAACAAGTTTCTAATCAAAGAAAAAATGTGTGAGCTTCATGTTTCTTTAGTTTCACAAAAATGAACATAATTTAGTGTTATTTTTACTTTATTTAGGCTTCCTGGTGGCTTCATTTTAATGAAATTCTTTAAGTTGTTTAAAGTGGCCATTATTGATCTCTTTCTTGTGTTTTGGAGAGTTTATTATTAAAAACATTTCTTTGATAAAATGGCCATCATCTAGTAATACCTGTGTTAGTTTAGATCTTGGAAATGAATAAACTTTGATAATATTTGTAAATGAACCAAATTATTACTGCTACTACTAACAGGATGTAAGTAGAAGACTAATAATTGAAGTCACCTTCCTACCGTTAGAGCAGAAGACAGCTCCTATAGTTTTGTATTTTGGCAGCTATGAGATATGTTCATGGTAATTTCAACGTGGTTAAGCACTTTGTACCAAGTTATTAAGTAACATCATTTTTAAAATGTAAAGAATGTGTCTTCAACTAAAAACTTTATTCTTTAGTATTTATTTAAATCTCTCTATAGGGCGTTATCCCGATGACATTGTTTCTTTTGTTTGCTCTTTCCAGAGATATAAATAGATGCTGAGATGGCTGCCCTGCATTTCCAGCTAATCTCTTCTGCTCTAAATATTTAAAAACAGTTCTTCTCAAACATTTTCATTCAGATAGCTTTCTGAAAGTTCCCTATCCCTCTTTACCATAATTTTTAAAATGCAGCCATATTATAATAGTAAACTTCATATATAATGAGTGCTTCATATTTTTGTTGTGGGAAAGCAATATATTATGCAGCCAGTCTGTGGAAACATTAAATCCCTCTTCCTTTACTCAAATACGGTTTCAAAAGGAAGACTCATGAGAAATTTCATAAAATACAAGTTTTTAGATGTTTATGCTTTGTCTTTCTTTTTAAAGGTGTTTTTCTACTTTGTCATCTCTAACTCTGAAATTTAAAATATGTAAACTAAAGTAGTTTTATTTGTGCTTAACCCAATTTAAACTCAATGTAAAATATTATATATGCATCAGTACAGCATTTTCAGCATATTGGCAACATATTTTAAATGAAAACATTAAAACAATTCTTAGTATAAGACAAAATTGTAAGGAAAAAGAATGTTAATACCATGATGCATTAACATGACATACCAAACACACAATGTCATAAAATGAAAATGTGCAGTTTTAAAACTGTTCATATCCGGTGCCCCACAGTGTGTGTCAACCAAAGGTGGCAGTGGCTGCGCCTGCCTGTTGGAATGGTACAGGTTACAGTATGTCCTCTTCCATTGCAAGTTAAAGTCCAAATAGAAAAATACTTAGGTTTTAGAACAGATCGGAGGTATTTCTGCTGTATTTTTCAACTTAAAAATTGACACATAGAGTTTACTAATAGAGGGAGTAGAGATTGTTGACAATTTTTTAAAAATGATAGTCACCCTTTTTCTTTTATATTTAAAACTGAAGGAAATTTTGCCAAATGGGAAAATTACTGTTATCTCTACCATCTTAATGTAGTAACTTTAGAATTTAAATTTTTATATTACTGTTTTCCTTTTTGTTGTTCACATAGTCTTAAGGCACCTACACTTTTAAATTGACTTTTTCATTTGATATTATCTATATGTATTTAGTTGTGATAATGATTATTTTAATTATATTACTTCATACTCTTATTTATCTATTGCTGAATACTTAAGTAGTTTTAAATTTGATTATGATAAATTCCTGGGAGGGGGATTATTTAGTGAAATAATATGAAGAACTTTATGACTTATGTTTGCCTTATTGCATTCCCAAAGAGTTGTAACATTTTACAGTGTTACCATTTGAGTAGGGGTTTTATATGTTGTTTCTAATTTAGTAAATATAGGAGAGAAATCAAAGTTTTTCTGACTTGCTTTTATGTGATTTATATGTATACTTTGTTCATTTATATAAATATCTTAATGATTTATGTACATATTTGCATGAGTTATTTGTGTTGTAAATACTTGATAGAAGATTTTTCATGGTCTGTTGTCCTTTTAGATTTAATTTTCATTTTTGCTAACTATAGTTTTAATTTTCATTTTTGGTAACTAAATTTGCAATTCTAATAATTCTTCCCCTTTTATCGTTGTCAGATTAATAAGTATGAAAAGTTTAAAATTTATTGAAACTTTAAAATCTTATCGCTCTTACAAGCAGTTGAAACTGATTGAGATACTCTGAAAAGTTCAAGATTCATTCATAAATTAGTTTTCCCTGATAGTCTGGTATTTAAATTCCAACTGAATTTTTTTTTTCATTTTTGTCAAAATATTCAAGAAATTTCTGTGTCTTATATTTTTCTAGGTCTAAACCTTCATGACGTAATAAAGTTGTTTTACTTGTAAGAAAACGGTAAAAGGTTTTAAAAATCTGAAAATGTTTCAACCTGGAACATACCAAATCACCTCATTTTGACACTTTAAGGTTTTTATATTTGAAAAATATTGTCTTAAAAGTTGTTAAAAGTCATAGAATTATTTTATTTATAGTCTTAAAATCCAGGACCTTTATGTAATAGAAATTTGCTCTTTGCAAATTCAAAGTTTTGAAATGCGAATAAAGGCTAAACATACTTTCCTCTACCTGTACTGACTAGGTCTTTTTTTTCTTAAATACTTGAATTAAAACAAACCATTGACTCATCATCAGAAATGATTTACTGTATTAAATAAGAGTGCTTTGTATCAGATCTTCAGTACATTTTATGTCCCCTGACCAGTTTGAAATTTGTATCAGTTACAATGAACATTTTGAGGTTCAATTAGATGGTGAATTGTTCTGTTTTAAAGAAAGTAAGTAATTTACCTTATATCATGATGTATATTATAGAAAAAGATGTAATTCAAAAGCACTGTAAAATGCTGAAACATTTAAATAGAAAAAAAGATAATAGATACGAGGTTTATGCACTGAAATGAGTATAATGGCCTTGTAGTTAAATTTAAAGAGGGATTGTCTTGAAACAATTTCTTTCTCTAAGGAATGTATGGGCAGAGCTCTAGTTTGTCCTAATTCTTCATTAAATACTATTTATTAAGCAAATTTGTTAAGGTAGTTGAATCAGCAGTGCCTTCATTTGTTAATGTGTGGGCTAAATTCTCTTTATGAACAGGCATATCTTCACATTACTGCTATAAATAGTGATACTGGTCGGAAAGTTGAAGTTGGGGGATTATTTTGCTTTTGTCATCCATAACCCTTAAAATGCAGCATATTAACTTTATTTCTATCTTTACCATTAGTCAACTTTTTGATCCTAGGTGAATCACTTAATCTGTTTGGGTCTCAGTTTCCTTATCCTTACAACAAAGGAGACAGACTAGTCCATCTCGAAGAATCTCTCCAACACTAAAATATTAGGCTTCCAAGTGTAGAGAATTAGTAATTATTTTGCTCAGGAACTCATTCCTCATGAACCTGAACTTTTATATTGATCAGTTCTGGAGAATTCCCATCCTTCATTTCTTTGGATATTGCATCTCTTCCAGCTAGTAATCCTATTTAAGTCTTTTTGTTTTATTGTATATCTAATTACTCTTTCGTATTTTCCATCTCTTTATCCCACTATGCTGCATACTGGGGAATTTCCTCCAATCTCCTTTCCAGATAATGAATGCCTTTTCCTATTTTTATTTACTGTTTAACAATCGTATATTTATTCCAGTCACTCTTGTGTTTTATATTTATTTATTTATTTATTTATTTAGAAACAGAGACTCACTCTGTTGTCCAGGCTGGAGTGCAGTGGCGCAATCTCAGCTCACTGCAACCTCCACCTCCTGGGTTCAAGCGGTTCTCCTGCCTCAGCCTCCTGAGTAGCTGGAATTACAGATGTGCACTACCATGTCCAGCTAATTTTTTTATTTTTGTATTTTTAGTAGAGATGAGGTTTCACCATGTTGGCCAGGCTGGTCTTGAACTCCTGACATCATGTGATCCTCTCACCTCGGCCTCCCAAAGTTTTGGATTACAGACGTGAGTCACTGCCCTGGCCTTTTGTTTTTATTTCTACACCAGGTTTTTTTCCTCCAAAATCTGCCTCTTCTTTTTTCGTGTGTTGTCTTACTCTTTCATTAAGGTTTTAGTAAAATGTATTTTTTTTTTACTTTGGTATTTAATATACGTACAGAAAGTCACACATAACTGTATAGCTTAGTGAATTTTCACAAACCAAACATGTCTATATTCAGCAAACAAGTCAAGAAACAGAACATCACTAAGGCCTCCAGAATCCTCTACTGCTTCATCAAGATTATAGATTAGTGTTTCATGTAACAATGTAGATTAGTAATTTTGTCTGTTTTTGTGCTTCATATAAATAGAAGTATGTGATATGTATTCTTTTATGTCTGGCTTCTTTTGCACAAAGTTATATTCATGAGGTTCTTCCATATTTTGGCTGTCTTAGCTTGGGCTGCTATGATAAAATGTCATAGATTGAGTGACTTAACATACTTGTTTCTCAGAGTTTTGGAGGCTGGAAGTCTGAGATCGGGGTGTTAGTGTGTGGTTGGGTTCTTGTGAGGGCCATCTCCCTGGC